GGGGGGGCGGGGGGGGGAGCAGGCATCTGTGTAAGGGAGTAGGTGTGAGAGTGGGTAGATGATTGCGACCATGGAAGTGGGTGAGTGTGAACCAGAAAAGAAACTGGAAGAAACTGGGAGAGGAAGTCTGGGGTTTCAGTGTCTCTCATGTCTCCTGACCAAATGGCAGATCAAATCAGTTTCATGTGCCTCATTGTTCATGCTGAGTTTGCATACAATTGAGATAAGCTGTGTAACGTAATTTTCAATGTTTTTCATCCCCATAGACCATTCCTGCAGTCCAGACACCCTCAGTATAGTGTGCTAAGTTATGTGACTGAGAGGCAGACTGTGGACATTCCAAGTCGGATGGGCTTTCTGTAGACAAGTCACAAGTTGCCTGGGTCCCAGTTCCCTCATCTGTAAAAAGGAAGGCTTGGACGGGACGACCTCCAAGGTGCCCATATATGATAACATCTGATGACTCTGTGAGCTCCTGGGCTACAGAGGGCCTGGAGGTTGCTCAGCTTTAAAAAACTGCCATTTCAGCCCTGGCAGTGTGGCTCAGTTGGTTGGAGTGTCATCCCATACATGGAAAGGTTGCAGATTTGATTCCCAGACAGGGCACATACCCAGGTTGCAGGTTTGATCCTCAGTCTGGGCGCATATGGGAGGCAACCAATCAATGTTTCTCTCTTACATCGATGTTTCTCTCTCTTCCTCTCCCTTCCTCTCTCTAAAATCAATAAAAACATCCTCAGATAAGGATTTAAAAAATTTTTTTAAAAACCATCATATCTCTGACTGCCGTAAAGAGGACCACATGGGGAGACAGGTCCCCAATCCCCTCCATGGTTACAGTCAAAATCACCCTTGGTTTCGGGCATTACCACCAACCTTGCACCAACTTGACTTCCAGCCTGCCACGCGGGCACTAGGTGCTCCGTACAGTTTTGTGAATTGAATCGAACTCCAATTGATCATTTGAATCCCTGCCGCCAGCACACACTCCAATAACACTCAGCCAGCTGTGTGCAGCCAGGAGCCTCTCTCCTGGAAAGGGGACCTGGCTCCTGGACTCAAGGCAGCCCTAACTTTGGATAACTGCCTAGAGACATGCCTCTCCCCAGGGATAACAACGCTCCTTTCACGCTTAAAATGGCCACATAGAGGCTGCAGAGAAGGTGGGGAGAGAGCCCCGATGCGGAGACATTGGCTTCTCATAGGACAGTCTACCAGGAACAAATGCAGAAAGAAATACTAGGGGAGGCATCCTTGCCCCTTACTCTCCACGTCACGACTTCCCCAGCCCTTCTACCTGGGAGTGGGGCCCAGGAGACGGGGCTCCGAGGCCTCAGAAGCTGGAGGAGTGGAGGCCCGCCAGGTCTGCATGGACATCAAGTCTGCCGGCAGGGCCCACTCAGGGTCCCAGACTGAGGGAAGCAGACGTGGTTGCCACGTGGAGATGGGGGTAGGGGGGTGGGTGCTGTGCAGACATGATCGAGTCCTAGACAAAAAAGCTTCGGGCATTTCTCTTTCCCACAGCTCCCTTGGCCTCGCCAGGATCTCCACACTGACTCCTAAATCCCAGGAGCCTACCTCCTGACAGATGGGCTGATGTACCTGCTCCGGGCACCCCTCGCTGCTGGGCTGGGGTTGAGGAGCGAGGGCTGTGGGGTGCCAGTGTCGGAGGGAAGCCCGGGGCCTGGGTCCCCTCCTAGCTCATATCATGCCTTCTGAGACGCTCTCGTCCACAGCTTCCTTCCAGCACCCCGCCCCCGCCCTCACCTCAGGACCTCTCAGGACCTGAAGGCTTTGCCACCCTCAGGGCTGAGGTCTGGGCCTCTAGCAAGGACATGGTCAAGTTACAAATACCCTCATTTCTGGATGCAAGACACACAGCAGTGCCCAGCCCAGGGCCACCAAGGCGCCGATAGGCTTCCCATGCACCTGTTTCCCAGGCCAGAGCTACCATCCCAGGGACCCGAGCCGGCCCTCCTTCCGACAGGAGCACGCCCCCCCTAAGCCAAGGGAGACCTGCAGGGGTCTGTAGCACCTCTCCCTGGCAGAGTTGCCCACGCCCAGGACACAGAGTTGCCCATCGGCCTAGATGTCAAAGGACGCATTCCTAGGACGTGGGAACCCTTCTCTATGACATGGAACAAGATAGACGGAGAACCCCATCTGCCTGCGGAATGTGGGTACTCCANGCCTAGATGTCAAAGGACGCATTCCTAGGACGTGGGAACCCTTCTCTATGACATGGAACAAGATAGACGGAGAACCCCATCTGCCTGCGGGTTCTCAGTTGGCAGGAGATCAACCCCCATCTCTAAGCTTTGGAGATGCCCACACCCCAATACTGCCTTCGGGATACCTGGGAGCTATCCCTGGCATAAGGTCCCTGGGATGCAGAGCGACCCTTCCATAGGCACCTGAGCACCCAGCACCAGGCCCCAGGTCTCGCCCCTGTTCCCGGCCTAGTCGGCAACTCCTACCTTTGCTGAGCAGCTCTGGTTCCCATGTGATAGCTCCTCCGGTGATGCTGAGGCTTCTCCAAGGCTGCCGAAGCTACTGCAGTGAGCCTGAGAGGCAGCCGGCAGAGCAGGAGGCTCCGAGAGCTTCTGGGTCCTAATGGCCTCCCACTTCCCACCCAGGGCCTCCGAGCCACTTCAGGCACCAGTGCCCCCAGGCGAGGCGCCCAGGCGCAGGCCCTGCCCCTCCCACCTCGCTCAGGCTGCTAGAGTGGCATCTCAGAAACCTGGTGGGGCCTTGTGATGGGAGGCAGGGGGGACCCTCCTGGTGAGCCAGACAAAGTAAAAAGAGGGCTCAGCATCAGAAAATCCACGCTTAGTTAAGGCCTGGCTCTGGCACTGACTAGCAATGTGACCTTGGGCAAGTCATTTCCCATTTCTGGCTGCATTTCTTACCTGTTCAAAAAGATGCAGGATAGATGCTCCCTGTAGGTCCTGACAGCCCTGGGTTTGCATGAGTCCAGTCAGTGCCCACGCAGAGCCTGGGTGAGGCCTGGAAGAGCACAGGCTCCAGGGTGGCCGAGGTCTGGCTCCTTCGGAAGCTGTGGGATGTATGGAGGGCAGGGCAGAGTGGAGGCCAGGTTTGAAAGGGCACTAAAGGTCATCCTAACCCTGCCCTTGCCGCTCAGAAGCACATTATTACTGTTTTCTTAGATTGTGTGTTTACTTTGTATGGGACTGTGAGAGGAGATGGAAATGGGGGATCTGACATCCCAGTGAGCCACCCTGTCATGCCACCACAGCCCCTCCCCGCAGGCAGAGTCAGGCACTTGGGGAGGCTCCGATCGGTCTAGGCCTGTAGGACTGGAGGGTCTGAGGCCGCCTGTGATGAGCCTTTGCAGGTGAGAGGAAGGGGCATGGCTTCCCACCAGCTGTGAAGAAAAACGGTCATTGCCCCTAGGTACAGGACTGACCCCAGGACAGGATCCCAACATTGTAGATCTGTAAGACACTCTACAGGCCAA